GAGAGTGTAGAAATAGCTTTGTAAACGGCATGAGCATTGTGAGAATGTTTCAGGGTTCGCTATTCGGTGACCCTACTCACCTTCTCTTGCCAATATCGAGAGCAATCGAATCGGTCGGTGGAGCTTCGGGGATTGTGAAGTTCTACACGCGTAGCCATGTCGTCAGTTCGAGAGCTAGCGAGTCTTTGAACAACTGACGTTGACGATCTGAGTGCTCAGCCCGTTGCCAATCTTGACTTCGGTGATGACTTGCGCAGTAGTATCGACCGCATAGTAGCTGTCGCGCCCCGAGCTATATGTGCTCCAGCATGCGGCAATCTGACCCTCGATGGGAACCGCCTTGGTATGTACGTCATTTGCCGTGACGCCGGCACTGAGGTCGATGATGTCGAAGCCGAGCGCGAAGTCGACCGCCATGAACGCGTCTGCCCCTCGAATTGGCTCGAGGCTGAATGGGAGACCTGCGGATCGTGGGGCGGCGATGCGTGTGTAGTTCGCTGCGAGACCGCCAGATGATTCAATAGGCCACAGGGCAAAAAAACCTGGGTCCGTTGGTGTGCCCTTCACAGCGACGAGAAGATTCTTCTGGTCATTCGTGAAGGCGATCTGGGAGGCCGTGTTGTAAGGTCCGGTCGCAGGTACGGTCTGATTAGGTAAAGCTAGGCTTCGGACGGTGTCTTCCTGTATTACAAGGCCTGTCTTGGTAACACCGAAGCATCTGGGCATCGCATGAGGTAAGTTTAGGCGCCCTGGGCAGAAGATCGGGCTACTGACGCTACACCATTGATCTTTCCCGTGTTCACCACGCAGAGCTTGTCCCCCGCAAGGTTGAACGCCACCGAGTTTGGGGAGTCGCCTTGTGTCGGAACAGGCTTTCCGATCATCGTCAAGCGCGCGGGATTGAATGGACTGATACTGAACAGGGCAGCGGTGTTGTTCGCGGTCTGAGATTGAGTTGTGAGTTAACATACGCGGCGAAGCCGACGTGAAACGCCATAGCGTACGTTGACAGTGGCGAGCAAGTTCTTCTCTTGGTGCACCTGGACAATGCCTTGCGAGAACGTGCTGTCAGCTCCTAGACTGCCGCCAGGCAGTGGGTCATGCACTCCCGACCCTCCGGCATATGTCGAATTGGAGCCGACCTAAAGTAAATGAGAGCATGACTTGGGCAGATGTAGAGAAAGGCGCGAACAATGAGTCCATCTGCGTTTACGCTGGCAGCCACGACGTAGTTCCCGGCGGGGTCATTATTAATGACTGTAGTCTACTGGTCAAATAGCAGACCGAGCAAACTAGACCAAGGAAAACGCACAGTATAGAGTATGTTGAGCGTGCTCAGATCCCCATGGGTACGCCAATGATGCTGTCGATCGTGTCAGGACAGCCAGCGAAAGCAGTGTGTGGGACAATGTCTTCATGACGATGAGTAAGATCAAAGAGTAGGAAAACCAGGCATGTGATGAGGCTCTGGCTTTGGTCTCGCTGCCTTAAGAAGCGAACAGTCACCGTCGAACCCGCTGAAGGTTGTCGAACGTATCGAGCGCATTGCCGCGAATGCGCGCTGACCGGTAAGGAGGTATGCCCGATGCTGCTCACGATATCGTGGCTGTGAGTCTTGGACTGTGAACCTGGCGAGTAAACTGATCTAGCTTACGACGGGTCGCATAAAGGCGGCAACGGCTTTCTATATGACATTGAGTCATGCAGTCGTGGATGGTGAAGGAAATCAGCTGCGTGAGTACGACCGTCTTTTGGCTGCCTGTTATGGCGGCGAAATCGCAAGGGGCTTGTTCTCGGGGTTATCACCGGCACGAAGCGACGTGGCCGCCGAGACGCCCGATGTTCGCGCTCGGGCTCATAACGGCTGATGAGGGGATCCATGGCACATTATGCTCGCTATCCTGGAGCCCCAGCTCGGTCCTATGATGGACTCCAGTCTTCATGAGAATATGGGAAATACAAAACCCTTAGGGACACTTGGTGCAGACATCGTCCATTAACCGCCGTGCACGTGAATATGATGGCTTGCTTGCTTACAATACTCTCCCAGTAGCTCCAGCCCTACTGACATGTTCTTAAAGTACTTCGCACAGGCTCCCTCTTAACAGTACACTCTCCGAGATGCTGGCCGTATCTGTCCAGCGGTGAGATGAGGGACCGGGTTTACATGGCCCGGCTATCGTTTTCTGTCTCGTAAACGGGGTAACTTCCGCTGTCGGGAGTTGCTGAGCGGGTACTCAGTCTGCGTCCGTGAATGATGGCTTCGTGAGACTGCAGTGGAAGGTATATAGATTACGAGTTTGACAGGAGATGGTGGTTCACGCTCAAGTGCATCCGGTGCGCCTGCGGCGCTGACATCGAAATACGCTCACGGGATGAGCCGAGCCTATTGGGCCGCGTCGTGCACTTCCACTCAAGCCTTCATGAGCACCTCTGGCTCCAATCTCCACCCGTCACGCCATCCGGTCTGGTTACTCGCCCACATTCTATGCTTCTCATGGCGTGTGTAGTCTGCTTAGTGATCCTATATTAAGACTCCCTCTGTAACACAAATGAGTGGTTCGTCCTCCTATCTCTCTTCGTCGTTACTATAGGCTCATATACCATTGGAAAGGAAAGGCAGCAAGACTTATGACTGGGGGTACGCTGTGGCGTGAAATTTTGAGTTCAAGGCGCTAGACGGAGATTTGAGACGTGGCCGGTCACGACCCTTGTCGCGAACGAGTGGGAGGATCTGAGAGCGCCTAGAGGCGTATGCCTTGCTCATGGTGCGCACAACTTCATCTTTGAGGCCAACATGAGACTGATGCATGGGGCTAGACGTCGATGACTTCGTGTGTGATTGGAACAATGAAGAGACGCGCAAAGAAGGTCGTACTGCGTCGGTCAAGATAGCGATTTCAGAGTTATCAATGCTTTGACCGGTGTCATAGTATTACTATGAATAGCCTCATATCTTTGCCGCCAGCAGCGCACACATGTCATACGTCGATGGAATGGCCTTTTCAAGCAAGAGGTTATGCCCTGCCTGTAGGCATCTGGCCCCGATGGCAGATCTTGCATCGTGCGCGAAGTATGCCAACTCTCGGGGCTGGGCGCGACAGACACGGTTGCATTTAGGACTTCGATGCATTGGTATAGGAGTCACCCGCCACTCGTCACCGCTCGGGCATGTATGCGAGTCACTCGCAACAGCTCTGTCCGGTAGTACAGAGTACCCGGCGATGACAGCACGGTTCCTGACACCAGCCGAAAGCAGTCTTGGACTCACGCAAAGAGTACAACACAAGCAAGGCTAACCGCTGTCAGACAATGCCTATCCGATGCTAGCATACTAGGCGTCTAATCTTACAAGTGGTGGGTCGCACCGAGATCATCCTGGATGGTGTAGCTAGGCAGATCACAGACGACTGTTTCTGAATACGATCTTCGCGTACTCCGCGCCAATCGATGATCGCCGTCTACCTGCAAGTGGCGACGGGTTCTCGCTGAGAACGTTGTCAATGGCGCTTACTTAGATCCTGCCGGGCGTCAATCGTGGTTGACTTGTTGTGATTCTGCTGCCCAAGCGCTCATCGGGCGTTCATCACCATGATGTAATCGCGTAACAGGGACACCGGCGCCCTCGGTCTTCGCCAAACCGGACTTGACGGAGTCGTTTTCGAGCGGCCTTCGTACTGTGTACGGCACTTGTACGGCTTGTTGTGTGTCGCAGTTCCGTCCATGGGGTTGCACCTCGCCAGAACCAGTCCGACGACCTGTGATAATGGCCGAACGTGTAATTCACGTGTGCGTATCTTCATCCCTGGCCTCGAGCATAGACATTGGCAGCGGTGAAGCTTTTTTCTCCTTCTCCTGGAATAGGCGTGCCTGACTTGGATGGATAAGTGCAAAGTCCGCACGATGGGATCATAGAAGGATGAAACTGATACCCAGTTCGCGCCTCACACGCGGTTGCCAGTTGGAAGCTGGACCAACAATGCAACCATACGGCGATCCGCATTGATGCAAGCGGTAAGTGGTAAAAGCTGCCCACCAGTGAATCAAGTCCATGGACTCATCCCTCGCCCCATGCTTGCAGCGGGAATCATATTGAGCACGCTCTATGCACGAGGAAGCTCGGTTCGACCCAACGTGACTCCACGCGACTCATGTCGCGGACGCTGCAGACATGAATGCCACTAGCACGCGAGTGCGACTGATATTTTCTCAAGATGAAAACCAGGCAATCCAAGAGCGAAGGAACGACTCTCGAGGTTACTCATATTGTGACTTCGAGTCGGCGAGGATCGGGGATCCGTTACCCTGAGAGAAACTTGTAATCGGGTAGATGAACTAAAGGAAGCAAGGGCTGTATCTTACAGGTAAGGATTACGGTTAAGTCGATTCGCCCTGCGTAGTGTGGCCATGATCCTTGGTTTATCGGTTCGTCGCGGTCCGAAACCCGAGACATCAGAACCATATTAACACGGCCGAACCGGGTCCCCACATCGCGGCACACCCAAGCCAGGCTGTCATGCAGATGCCCGTAGCAGGTAAGCAGAAGTCCTGATACTCATAAAGATTGACCCAGCGCTCTACTACGCTGACAGTAGGCTGAGCCTGGCGCTGTGTAGGAGACCTATGCAACGTACCCATTGGACCGCCTATAGATGGAAAAGAAGTCAGCCCAATAAGAAGCTAGATACGCGGTCCTGGGGGGCGGCTTTAGCACTGATAGAGCACCTGGTTGGTATATGCGAACGTCGTAAGGCCTGTCTTGTTCAGTGATATCAAGCATAGAGCACCACTACGGACCACGAATTAAAGGATGTCCAATAATAATGAACTGTAGTGATCTTGCAGACCCTTGAGCATATAACTCATACAAGGTACACGGAGTGCATAGGAATACCAGCAGAAGTCGTTGACAGAGTTCTGGGCAGTCGGCAGCCTCTCCGATGGTTCCTGTCACTGTCAGTCGGTCAGTATAGGCGTGGGTGAGCCAACGCTGATCCTTACAATGCTTCCTTCAAAGCTTGAGTAGGTTGAACCGCTTTAGGAATCGTTGCACAGGTGCGGACATATACGACTGCACGCTATGCGAGAAGCAAATTAAGCACCAAAAGCATCAGGGCGAGAACAAAGCATGGCAGGGAGCAGCCTGGTGTGTAGGGCGTGACGAGTGTAGGGCGCAAGTCATCAAGGCTTGCAGCACAGTGCGAGGACAGCGTCTGGTGAGCTGTACAAAACGTGTTCATGAGTAGATCGCGAAGACGTCGGAGGATCTGCAAGGAGAATCAGATTTGAGAGTTGTGCCTCCGGAGAGCGCCTTTGCTGTATATGGGGCCTAATATCTACTTTCAGTTCCTAATACACACAGCGGCCGAACCTCGAGGTAAGCCGCAACACATTATAAGCATTCGCCCCAACCTACATACCTGTACAGGAGTAATTGTACTCTTCCCACGCACCAGCCTGATCGCGATGTCAAGCGTACTGACGCCCGCACGGGTCGTAGTCAATCCTTACCCTGTCCGCCATGAAGCCCCACACGTTAAGAGTACGTACTATCATCTTCGCACATAGATCTAGAAAGGCCGGGAGAACACTGATATCGATGTCGAATTCTGCAGCTCTCGCGAGCGCCGCAACGCGCCGAGCGTCAGATCTACCGGATGGGTTCGAGCTCGTGCACGCCGCCGAAGATCACTCCCGAGCAATTAGCCATGCGGACGCGACCCGCGTCCTAGGAATGGTCAGTATGATTCCCGCCGCCTTTATCTTCAAGAGTGCATACCCATACACATAGTCCATAGACGCGAGCCCCGCTACCCGTTGTGGTCAACAAGTACCCATGCCGTATCCAGGCAGCCGCTAAGGACGAAGGTCAGTATTGATAGAAACATGTTGACACGACGATTGGCTCAACACTGCTCGGGATTCTCCTCAGTACCTTCACATCCTCCCCTTCCCCGTATTCGACCGGAACGCCAAGATTTTCTCATTGTCGGGGGGCAGCCTTCAGATGGGCGGATGACACAAGACCTTGGTGTGGTGAGTTCTTGAGGTTGCGGGATACATGCGCGAAGTATAAACTAAAACAGCCCTTTACCGCAGCTCGCGCTCGCGGGCACGACGAGCCTGTCCATCGCCACCACAACTATGCAAGTCAATGTAGTACCGTCACTCCAATGGATATGGAGTACCACTTCAGTCTTGGGCATCAATGGAACCCTCTGCGGCATCGCTGGGGTTCTGTGCATGGTCAAAGGCAGACGCGCGGCCGCTAGATATATGTCTTGGCTGAGCAGCGGTTGCGCCGTTTGCGGCACCGTTGGGATTGCTGCGGGGACCCAGCCTTGGCCTGTGATAGCGTCGACTATTCCTTGCTTTCTCTTTGTTCTGGTCATCGTGCTCTGCTTCGCGAAGGAGAAGAACATCGACAGGGACTTCGAGGCCGGCGCCGCCACGTCACCGCATGGCGCACGTAGTGCCTAATAGGGACTCGCGAGGCCCCTTGTGGGTGGATAAGACAACGAAGAGCTGAGCCGGGTTTCATTGTGTTCCTTTCAATAGTTTCTCGTGTAGATTCGAAGTAGTACACCGCCTCTGACGCAACGACTATATTAACGATCAATACAGTCCGGTAATAGGGGAGAGTGGAAGCATACCATGCATCGGAGGAGATTTGCCGTTTCCGTTGAGACGCATCGAGCGCGTGCACGGGAACATAACGCTGTCCTGTCCTCGGGCGTAGTTGTATCAACTAATATAGATAGCACGGGATGATGCGCCGCTCGAGAAGAGGCCTTCGGAACGCCTTCGAGCACGGCTTGAGTAATGAGTTGGAAACAGATATGGACTGAATACAGGGCCCGCGCCGTCAAGCAATGATTCGTAGCGGGATTGAACGACAATTTACTCATTGGAGGTCGACGAAGAGCAACTTCAAGAGCAGTCCAACACCCTGCGACCATCCATGGCGGTTCGAAACAACTCGTGGTGGTCGCGGCAGTGCGGTCCGGGCACCGGTTAGGAAGATGCTCGTGTTCACAGATGAGGGGGTATCCTCCTGTCATCCACGATGGTCTATTGCCATGGCTTCGCACTTGCATCTCGGCTCATACCGACATCGCGGTATCCACGACGTGCCTATGCGCCCATTATCACATCCGCCAGGTGCTCAGACGAGTTCGAAATGAGTCTGCGCGAGACGGAAAGCTCGTAGTCATGCCAAGAAGCGGAACTTGGATGTCCTGGATGGGAACGAAGACTTCGGTACTGTCAGAGGATGAGAGGCTGGTCGCGATGGAACATGCGAGCAAGCGTCAGAGCCACGTCGTCTAGGCTGAGCAACACAATTTCCCAATGGTGCGTATTGCCACATGTATGCATTATCGGGTAGACGCCAATCACGCTCTGTACTATAGACACCCGGGATACCGAAAAGATGCGTAATACAAGCTGTGCCGCATTAACCGAACGCCTCGACACCGGGCGCGGCGCGGCAGTACTACTCACTAATATTTGCCGACCGCCTTCTCTTCATGTTTCACAGCGCCAGCTTCTTCTCCGACTACTTCGAGCTTTGGCCCAATTCCAACGCCGATACGACATGGACTTCCGTGGAGTTTGGTTCCAGACTCGGTACTACAAGATGTGCCTGAGTTCGCGATCGAGAAGTCGGCATTTGTGGCGCGTGTTGAGGGTTACAGTCGCATTTTGAGAGACATGCAAAGCGAGATCGAAGATCGTGGTGTGTCGTTGCCATCCTCTGAACGTACTCGGGATCTGAATCTTATACAGCTGATAGTCGACTATCCTGATGCGCGTGGTATCTGGACAACGCCGCCTTGTCATGCATTCCTGAACTCACATTGTGCGCACTCAGTATCCGAGCATCCGGTGCTCTAGATATTGGGTCCCGATGGATTCCAGGGCAATATGGTGATTGGTGAGGACTCAGTCCTCATTCGCATTGCGCTCAGCGATGCATTCCCTCAATGAGAACACGCTCGTATGTAGATGAAGAACTGCAATAAAGGAGGGTATATCAAAGGAGTGACAATCAGCGTAAGAGTCTGCTGTGATACAAGCTAGACGAATGTGTACGAAACGAGATAGCGTGATGGCTATGGATCTATTCTCATACTCCTCTCATGAAGTGCTGTGCAGCGCAAAAACCAGGTTACACCCGCCCCGCATTACACAGCAGAAGCTGTAACAACAGGGGCAGTGGCAGAGCCAACTGCGCTAGAGAGAACCACAGTCGTCGCGGTGGCCAAGGTGAAGCTCTCAAACGAGAAGGTCGTGCTCGTCGGGTGTGGGTTGATAGTGGTCGTGCTGACCGTACCGCAGTTGGAGCTGTCAACACTGGACGAGTATTGGAACTGCGGCGGATGAGACCACATCAGTCAATCATGGAAAGTTAGACAGTGTGATTATGGTCGACATACGTAGTCGGCGAAGTTCTGGAAGGGGATGGCCACGTTGCAGTATGCGGTCCAGTCTTGCAAGTTCCGGAAGATGCTGATAACGTATTGAGGGTCAGTTGGATACGGCCCGCCGGTGGCGTCGAGAGAGCTACGGAGCAGCAGTTGTGAGCAATGGATGAGCGCTTAGGATGCATAATCTCGTACGAGTAATAGCCATCGATAAAATTCTGTTGTGTCACGAACGTCCCGTCAGCGGAGATGGACTTCCAGAGCTACGTCGAGAAAGACTTGAGCATCTCTTCGACGGAATCAACGAGATCGATGCGTACAGAGGTCGTAACGCGCGGCAAGTTGACGCTTTTCGGGGCAGCCCCGCTGAGACCTCTATCGGCGTAGACGGCAGCGAGGAAGCCATCAACGGGATGCTGGCCACCAGAACAGGTCGCACCAAAGATGCACGCCTTGATGTTCCATGCATCGCTAAGGTCGGACTTAACCGTCGCGGCACACTCAGTTTGGAGGGCGCGGCAGGACCCGTTGCCCGTATCGGACTGCCGTTTAGAAGGCACGGCGAGCGCCGAGGCAGCAAGAGAGAGCACGAAGAGGGATGCAGAGACCATGATCAGATGTATCGACGCGGATAGACGAGCAAACTCGACTGGGACTTCCTAATTCACCTAGCCGGCTTATATAGCGGGATTAGTCTATGCGTCGTATCTCTTGAACGCGGTCAGGTCAGGCCTCTGGTGTCTATCCTCTGCGTTTGAATGTCCGTGTGCCCGCACGGTACGTGCTCGTCAATACAGCGGTCATTCAAGACCGCGAATGTTGTCAGAAAGTTTGAACATGAATGCTGGTTGTTGATCTTGGCTTTGACCGTTGCGCTGCCGGCAAGCGTCAAGCGTTCACGGGAGCGGAGGATGCGAATTTATCAGTGCCTCCCATTGACAATGCTAGGAACGCGCGGTGTAAGCCGGAGATAGGCAGGGCTTTAGGCACAGCATAGGTGATGCCTCTGTTGTGAGGCAAGCAAGTATCCTCCGTGCTGTATTAGTGATCCTCAATTCGCCCCCAGAACGCCTCCCAGAACGCCTCCCAGAATGCCTTGCCGCAGTTGATAGCGGCGCAAGAAGCTGATGAGGGGTTGGGGGTGCCTGGGAGGTGTCGATGGATTTCAAGTCGTAAACGCGGCGAAAGCCCTCAGCCGAAGTTGATTTCATGTTTTGCGGGGTTTCCGACTAGCCGGCCGTGAGCGGTACAGAGCTCAACGACGGCACCCTGCCCGCTCTCTCGCACTGAAAGAGCTCGTAGTGGCGTAAGGAGGGTGTGGCGAGTATCCCTCCCGACTCTCGTGCCGCCGTACTCGTCGCAAACGACAGCACAAGTCGAAAGCGATCCACGCGTAGCCCACGCGAGATGACCTACAACCCTAACTCTGGGTTACGAGCCCGCGCCGTTTGCCCTTTAAGGCGCGGTGATTATTGCTCCATTTTTAACTATGCATATTTAACCGTTGTTTAACGGCGTTAATATACGCTGTTCAAAACTACCGGGGCCAGGGCCATATGTACTTAACTAACCCTAACCTAGGGCGGAGGCACCTATAGCGCACTGTAGCCTGCAAGATTGCTTCAGCATCCCTAGCCGCGATGGTAGTGAAGCGCGCCAGACGTGCCGACGAGAGGGAGGCATAGTTCAACCCAACTCGGGCCGGACGCCAGAGTTCACAGG